CGGGTTCAATCCCGGGGGTAGGCAGGAAAGCCACATTTTCTCCCAGATTTACGGTATTTACAATGGAATCAAGGCCGAAAGGTTGCGATATCCATAATACCGAGCCTAAGGGTTAACAACTCATGGCTTCTGGATACTAAAACAAACAAACAATATATATATATATATATATATATATATATATATATATATATATATATATATATATATATATATATATATATATATATATATATATATATATATACTAGCTGTACCCGGCCACGCGTTACTGTGGCATAGTTTGGCTAAATGGAAAATAGAGAACATAGAAATCTGTCTTCGCTTCACGCCAGCGATGTACAGTGTAACAGCTAAACCACAGCTAATAATACTTTGAGTGGGTAAGGCAGTTACTGTAACTTAAATCTATCTCAGTAAACAGTTTATTTTAACCACCCATCCCCCAGTTCACCTACTACTTTCTCCCTCATCGAAGTAGTTGGAAAAATTACCCTAGTGAAAAGCAATGAAAACAGGAAAAATACACCATAATTATGAAATGAACACATTTGCTAATTGCTGTAAACTACCCTGCATGCGTTGCTACAGTAGAAATTGAATTGAAAGGAAAATGGCTTTAACAAAATGTAATTATATTGGATCATTGTGCCGATTTCATTTCTTTAGGAAAAAAACAGATAATTTAAAATGACATTGTAATTGTGTTTACTGAAGTGGTTTCGGGTAAACAATGTTCTTTGTTCTTCCGTCTGGCCCGTACACAAATAAATAAGAAGGTTTTCGACGTGTGAACAGGCCACATATAGCTGTCCATGTGAAAAGCATGGATGTTCCAAACGTAGTACACACACTTGTAGCGATTGTCCCTGTGATTTGTTTATGGTCATTGCAAAGGCGAGTCGCACCAGAAACTGCAAGCGTCTGAATTCATATGGCATGTCTGTTGGAATAATTGGGATGCATGGCAATAGTATATGCTCGCCCTTTAATTTCCCATTTAAAATTGTACCTTCGATGATATTGGGCTTCAGCTTTTTCACTGAAAGCCTGGTACCATCGCAAAGACGTGGCAGATTGATGTTTCTGAGAAGAATGATAGGCACGCCAATTTGCCTGGCAAATCAAGTGAATTCAAGAACTCAGTTGGATAATTGACAACTTCATCCTTATTCATTACAGTATCGATAGACTTATACGTTGTCACTCCGCCTGGTAATTTGTCTTGAATGTTCAGATTCATGGCATACACATCCTTGTTTTTAGCTGCTAAGATAGCACATTCACTGAGCCACTGATGATTTATGTAATTCTGTGTGATATTAGGGAAAACTTCGTCCCATATAATGAGTTGACATACTTTGAGTACTTTACCCATTGCAGAATCATTGTTGATATTGCATGTTGGTGTCTCAGTGCATATTTAAAGGCAACTTCAGTGCTGAATGCGCTGTTCGGCCACCATCCAAAAGAGTGCGGGAAATCCAGAAGATGCGATTGCCAGTGCAATATTATTTTGTGACCGCATGGATGCCAAAATAAGCGAAATGAGAAGGTCTTGCCTGTGCCTCCGGGTGCATCTATGAAATACAATCCTCCATGTTGTCTTGTAATGGCATGCATAATTTTGTCATGTTCTGGAACCAATTTTGGAAGATTTATTTTAACAAATGTACCTAATTCGGTGACATCAAAGTGTGTCTCTCGTTGCAACTCACAATCTAAAAGGTTGTTTGCAGATCGTTCTGGTGGAGCCAATCCCAGCTGAACCAGTGCTTTATTAGCTATTGCCAAACATATGTCCTCAATGCAAACCAATGCCTCATTATATACATTTGGTGTGAATTGAAGGTCCTGATCTTGCTTCGTTTCATGCCAGCGATGTAGGATGTCTTCACTCATGTAGTCTTTGTATTTTTCCCAAAGCTCTTTTGGATTGGATGGGAAGCAAGTTGTTAATATTATTGCAAATAATGTGCGTATTTGCTGTGGTCGAGCAGTATTCGAAGCTACAGCGAGTGAAGTGTCCCAATGTGCATCATTTTCAAGAAGATTTAATTCTTGGCAAGCTTCACGGTAAGTAGCACATACTTTATCATAAACTGTTCTCAAGTCCTGGAAGGATGCCGGTCCCCGTTTGTTGATTAAAAGTAATCGCAAGTAAAAGCAATCTGCATTTTTTGGATGAACAGTGTACAGACATCAGTAGAATATAAATTAGGATGTCCGTCAACTGCTTGACCTTGCTTGCAATGTTGAAACTTTTTAGCTGATGCATTCCATGTGTAGTATGTTGGCAGGTCAAGGTAAAGTAGTGTTTTTGCAAACATATCATCTCTACACAATGAGAAAAATCAGTTAACGTGGTTGGCGGTGGTAACAATGCTCGTGCATGTGCATTTTCTGTAGTGAAGTACACGCGCTGCCCATTGTCAAGGTGCACTGCCAAATTAACAACTGCTGGATGTCGTTCATGAATTGGAAATGACAAAATGCGCCATACGGCTTCATTGCTACTAATGTAGCGCCCCAGCTGATATTGCTCGATTTCGTCGATAGATGCAGCTGCATGTCCCACTCCAAAGACTGCCATATCGCTTCCTTTGTTGACATATTTGCAAATGTACTTATGTTTGCCAAGAAATGTGTCGACTGGCCTGTGTCACCTACTACCAATGATGATAATGGTTCGGGTGGTGAATGTAATACTGGCAATTTAACTTTTCCACCAGCTCAGCACATACCCGGCGTGTCATTCTTAAATTTAAAGGCACTGCAATGTACGCACAATTTATCCATTGTGCCAATAAGCGAGAGTGGATGAAGACTGTAATCATAATTGCTGGTATAATGGAATGCACCAAGATTCAAATCAACATGCAATGTTCGTCTGGATAAAGTAGTGCGCATTCGAACGGTGTCCAGTCTTGCTTTCCGTTGCTCGACTGTGTCTGATAAACGGACTTGAGCAGTGAGTACTCTACTGGTTTCCAGTCTTGCTTCTCGATGCTCGTCTGAATGAGACGATCTGGCTTCAGCGGTGCGCACTCGAACGTTTTCTACTCTTGCTTTCCGTTGCTGGTCTGATTGAGATGAACGGGCTTCAGCAGTGCACACTCGAATGGTTTCCAGTCTTACCTCACGTTGCTTGTTTGTTTCTGAAGCAATTAATGCCCTTCTCTTGCGTGTTTTAGGTGTAGATGGGCCAATCGCTTGTCGTTTGGGAGGCATAACTGCAAATTTTGACAAAATAGTGAACAGCGTGTGAATTTAGTGAGCGCTGATCATCAATAGCTTGTTTTTCCTCACGCACTGAATGAAATGTGACTTAAAGTATTGCTGAAATAAATGAAAATATGAGCATGAGATAACAATCTATTTTGACTCAAGAGGAAATGAATAGAAACTGGGCAGCAAATAGTAAGAAAAGGCGGTATATAAGGCAATATGAGAAAGCCAACAGATAATGTGCATACATTTATCATTGTGGGATTTAAGTAGTGGTCCACACATGTATTTGAAGTTAAAAAAATGTACATAATGACTGATGTCACTGAAATAAATGCGCTCACCTGTTGAGATATTTCTAGATTCAAACACTGACCTGAGACGGAATGTCATGTAAATTTATATAATTCTTTTGAATAACAGAAGAAAGCCAACCAAAACTGTTGTACTCATGAGTATGAGAAAGATAACAGATAATGATTAATGATAATGTGTATACATTTATTATTGAGGGATTTAAGAAGTGGTCCACACTTGTTTGAAGTAAACAAAAAACATGTACATACTGACTAATGTTGCTGAAATAAATGCTCTTACCTTTTTAGATATTTCTAGATAACACAACTAAAAACCGATGGCATTGTTTTCCTTGTAATATAACTTAAATGTCACGGGCGAATGTTGACGATGGAGCGCCACTACTGCACATGCACGGTAAAAATCGATCGCACATGTGCAATAACTAACGTGGCTATAATTAAATGTCACTAAAAATTGAAATATAAGTTTCGAAAATTGTTCCAAAAATTGTCGCACACTATATCTAACAATGACAGGTTGAATTTCAAACCATGATGGGTGAACATCCGGTATCAAAACAAACATATCCTGAAAATTTCTGCTCAATCGGTTCAGTAGTTTCTGAGTCTATAGGCTATAAACAAACACACAAACATTGATTTATATATATATATAAACCATAAAATAATGTTTTTTTTTAAAAACAGAAATTGAAAATCAGCAAAACTTAAGTGAGACAAAACAGTAGCCAATGTTGAAGAACAAAAGACAAACAGTAGCCAGTGTTTAATAACTAAAGACAAACAGTAGATAATGTTGAATAACAAAAGAAACAGTAGCCAGTGTTGCACAACAAAAGACAAACAGTAGATAATGTTGAACAACAAAAGACAAACAATAGCCAAATTTGAAGGACAAAAGGCAAACATTAGCCAATGTTAATGGACAAAAGACAAACAGTAACCAATTTATAGTGACAAAAGACAAACAGTAACCAATTTATAGTGACAAAAGACAAACAGTAACCATTGTTTAGTGACAAAAGACAAACAGTAACCATTGTTTAGTGACAAAGGACAAACAGTAACCAATGTATAGTGACAAAAGACAAACAGTAACCATTGTTTAGTGACAAAAGACAAACAGTAACCAATGTATAGTGACAAAAAAAGTAAACAATGTATAGTGACAAAATACAAACAGTAACCATTGTTTAGTGACAAAAGACAAACAGTAACCATTGTTTAGTGACAAAAGACAAACAGTAACCATTGTTTAGTGACAAAAGACAAACAGTAACCATTGTTTAGTGACAAAAGACAAACAGTAACCATTGTTTAGTGACAAAAGACAAATAGTAACCATTGTTTAGTGACAAAAGACAAATAGAATCAAATGTAGAATGACAAAAGATGGCAGTGACAGTAATGTGTGCCTGTTTGGCTCTCATGTTTTACAGCCAGCTTGTGTTGATGATGGCAGCTACCTTCCTTGCTACCCTTCTGCTGATGCTTTCCCTTGCCTCTGTGACTGTACAACAGCCTCCGGGGGTTCCGCCACGGCAACAGCCTCATCATGGTCAACCACCACAGCAACATCAACAACCACCACAGCAACATCAGCAGCCACCGCAGCAACATCAACAACCACCGCAGCAACATCAACAACCACCACAGCAGCCACCCCAGCTGCAGCAGACAGCACCAGGTCATGGGCATGAACACAGTGCACCACCAGGAGGACACGACCATCATGGGAAGCCACTGGAGTTTGCTTCAGAGATCCACAATCGAGAGTATGTACACTCTTAGAGATACATTATCTAGAGCAGGTTCACTGTTAGATTCACATTATCTAGAGTAGGTTTACTGTTAGATTCACATTATCTAGAGTAGGTTTATTGTTAGATTCACATTATCTAGAGTAGGTTGACTGTTAGATTCACATTATCTAGAGTAGGTTTACCGTTAGATTCACATTATCTAGAGTAGGTTTACTGTTAGATTCACATTATCTAGAGTAGGTTTACTGTTAGATTCACATTATCTAGAGTAGGTTTACTGTTAGATTCACATTATCTAGAGTAGGTTTACTGTTAGATTCACATTATCTAGAGTAGGTTTACTGTTAGATTCACATTATCTAGATTAGGTTTACTGTTAGATTCACATTATCTAGAGTAGGTTTGCTGTTAGATTCACACTATCTAGATTAGGTTTACTGTTAGATTCACATTATCTAGAGTAGGTTTACTGTTAGATTCACATTATCTAGAGTAGGTTTACTGTTAGATTCACATTATCTAAAGTAGGTTTACTGTTAGATTCACATTATCTAGATTAGGTTTACTGTTAGATTCACATTATCTAGATTAGGTTTACTGTTAGATTCACATTATCTAGAGCAGGTTTACAGTTAGATTAATGTTATCTGGAGTATGAACACTGTTAGATTCACATTATCTTCAGTAGGTTTACTGTTAGATTCACATTATCTAAAGTAGGTTTACTGTTACATTCACATAATCTTCAGTAGGTTTAATGTTAAGATTCATAATGTCTAGAGCAGGTTTACTGTTAGATTCACATTATCTAGATTAGGTTTGATGTCAGATTCACATTGTCTAGATTAGGTTTAATGTCAGATTCACATTGTCTAGAGCAGGGCTATTTAACTAAGTTTGCTGGCGGGCCAGAATGTTGACCATGGAGATCGTCGCGGGCCAGTGACCCGAGCCCACACTACAATTGACATTTTCAATGTGTAAACTTCATACACTGGAAAACTATTACGCCTTAGGGCTTAGCCTATATGAATGAAACAGTGTTGTAAACCATTATAATGTCAAGTCTACTACAGTCTTCTGTAATGATTAATTAATACTCACTTTTAATTCCTCCTCTTCTTCGTATTCACCTGCTGTAAACTCCGGCAGAAAGTTCTGGTTGTACATCTACTTCTGGACTCTAGTACTGTTTCATAAATGGAGTGTTGCGTACACATCTGTTTTACATGTCTTACCCATTTGCATGCAAACTGTGGGTTCCTTGGCTCTCAGGCAGATGTACTTTGACTTTGAAGGAAGCTCTCAATTAGTCGACTCTTGCGACATTCTTTTGGGCATGCAGTGGGTCTATTCTTGTTTCCCCACAATAGGCCCCAGGAACCCACACAGGGATCAATATTAATTGAAATACATGTATTTCCAGCTTGTCGTTGGGATCATAAATAAACGTTACCCTTGTGACTTCCATTACGTTGTCACAATAATAATAATAACTGTCCACAGTTGGTTTCATGTTCTTCAGAAGAAACCAAGAGTTATAACACTGCAAAATGTAATTAATGGAAAATGCTGCATTTTCATTTTTGAGCTAATTTTACTAAATTTGGCTGGTGAGAAAGAGCAATTCTCGTGCAATCCTGCAGCCTGTCATTGCTCAGTGAGCTCCGACTGTTTGTCTTGATGACATTCATGTGTGATAAGCTTGATTCACAAGTGAAAGTTGAGCCAGACATGATGAGTATGAATACAGCAACTTTTATAGCATCGGGGAACTGCTCCTGTTGAAACCTCCCATACCAAAACTTGGCGGTACCACTTTCTTGAAAATCTTCATTCACTACGCTGGAACTTTGGATATCTACAAGTTCTACTGCAGAGAACCTTCATCAACAGAGGATAACAGCTTCTTAGCATTGGAAGAAAAATCACAGGCAGGAGGAAATTTAAAAGGATCTTAAACGAATAACACTTTTTTGGGATATTGATGTCGTCAAATCTGTTATTAAAATTATTCTGAAGCTTTTAAAAATATTTATATGATTCAATCAGTTAAGGTTGCCGAGTCCAGTGTTGAAGAAATAAAATAGCAAGCATACTGGTTTCGAATTAGGCAGAGTTGGTGATATAAATAAATATTTCAGTGTCCAGTCACTGTTGAATGCACAATTTTCACATTCCCACTTTGCTCGCTTACTAGAGCTAGCCATGGCACCAAGTATTTAATTAAATGATTAAAAGTAGATAATTTAGAACTCTGTTACTGGTTCAGTTTGTTACTGTACAATCGCGTCCGGCAATCTACGTCTGACTGTGACTTGTATGTGACTGGATGTTCTTCTGGACGTTATAATCTGTAACATGTCTGCGGTGTCCAGTGTCACTGATGTTCTGCTGCAAGCAATGTCATTAGCTTGTGTGTACTAGTTGCAACGATTAAGGAGAGCTTCTCGGTAATCCAAGCTCTAACTGTCAGAACCGTGCTGGTATTTCTGTACGCCTCCTGTCCAATAAATAACTCACCTTCATTGAATGTCCAGTGAAACGGTGGCCTTTCCACCTGTTACTTGATTCTTTCTGGCCTTTCTTATTACCTTTGGCTTCAAACAGATAGTTTTGCTATTTGAAAGAACTGGGAACAAACTTTTACCCTGATCTAATTACTTTTTCTGTTCCTATACCAGTTCCCTTGTATCTTCACATTTACAGATTCCTGACAAAAACTTCTTGTAGACACATTTGAAGCGACTGATTTTTTAAGAACATACAGAAAAATTGATTTAATTTTTTTCTTTTTAATAACTACATTTCGCAATTTTGGCTACGATTGGCGGGCCACTTGCTAGGCCTCGACAGGCCAGATTTGGCTTTGGGCCGCCAGTTGAATAGCCCTGACCTGTATTATGTACACTGTTAAATTCACATGATCTAGGGTAGGTTTACTATGAGATTCACATTATCTAGAGTATATAAGCTATTAGATTCACATTATCTGGAGTAGGTTTACCGTTAGATTCACATTATCTGGAGTAGGTTTACCGTTAGATTCACATTATCTGGACTAGGTTTACCGTTAGATTCACATTATCTGGAGTAGGTGTACCGTTAGATTCACAATATAGTAGGATCAAATTTGAGAGAGAGAGACCATGTCGACAAATTATTCTTATCTTTCTCAATGTGGTGTAGCAGTTTTAAATCGTAGTGATTGCTTGTCAAAATAAACATGGAAATTACGTTATGACCAGATTATTCCCTCTCATTAAGGAATGAGGTATTCTTTAGTTTTGTTTCAATGTTCACATCCTTTAACACTGAGTGGACGGATGGCTAGAACTGAAACTTCTACAAGCTGCAGTTATTCACAACATGCATGTTTGAATAAGAGACTTTTTGTACTAGCAATTTAAGCAAATTTGAATAGATAGCTTCTTGGTTATACTGACTGTTCGACTAATGCCTACTCTAGTTAAGCATTGGTGCACATCGTCTCAGCTCTAGTCTGTAGGCAAGGCTAAGCCATAAGGCGAACAGAATGGTTTTTTTTTAAAATGTGGTTGTTACACGCATTGCTTCTAGTTAATTTCCTAAATAGTCTGTTCTAAAGTGTTAACTGTTATTAACCGTGCCTGCTAAATGTTCTGCACCTGAGTGTCGCTCGAATTATGATTCTTCACTTGGATATGTAAGTGTATTTAAATTTTCTTCAGATTTACTTTTAAGAGCACGATGGCTGAATAAAATTATACACACAAAAATTGGGACTCCTGGGAAAACCAGTTTAGTATATGTGAAAAATTTTTGTACGTCCAGTATTATTGTATCTGATGAATACACAGACAAATCTGGAGTAGAGCATATACTCTCAAGACAGCATCCCGCTTTAAAAACAAGGATGCTTATCCAACTGCCTTTCCTATTTATTGGTGAAAGTACCAGCTCCTGGTAAAACTCCAGAGGAATGTGTACCACAAATTGGCAGTAATTTTGATCAAAAAGTAAATAAATTGTCCTCAGATATCAAGGCAGATTTCCAAGATCTGGAGTCACAGATAGGAAACAAAACTGAAATGACAGTTTGAAAAAAAATGGAAATACACTTCTGTAGATGGAGCTTTAGCATGTATTGTTTTGTATATCATTACCATACAGTCAGACTCTGCACCATCCATAGGTGTTAGCATAAAGGTGTTACTGGATATTACCATACAAGTCTTTGTTCAAAATAAAAAGGTTAGTGACAGAGACCATAACACTTTGGTGACCAACTTCGACGATCGTCTAATTTCCGGCCATATTCCCTGGTGACCAACGACGACCATCGAATTCGCAATATGTAGTCTGCCAACTGACGTCCCTAGCAATAGTTTTTGTATTGAACTGCATCCAGGTGTTTTTATTATTCCAAGATGGCTGGGCCACGATCCATGCCGATTTGATCCAATGCAAGCACAGTTTTCAGAGAAATTTGAATAATTTTCGTGACCGTCGCATATTCAGCCTTTTTTATCATGTCTGATGATGAAAACCAGACCAGTAGTATTGATTATTTGGAATCTGCCAGCGAATGTAGCGCTGAAAACAATCATTCCTGGATAAGTATTTACCTGTGAAGGTAATCGTCCTATCACAACTGAAAGTAGCGACATTGATGACAGAGTTTATGATGGAGGTGATGTAGGTACATCTGAAGAAAGACCTGGGCGTGACACAAGAGACCAGAACATTTCTACAACTGAAAGTGCTGTTTGTAAATGGAGAAAGACCTGGGCGTGACACAAGAGACCAGAACATTTCTACAACTGAAAGTGCTGTTTGTAAATGGAGAAAGACCTGGGCGTGACACAAGAGACCAGAACATTTCTACAACTGAAAGTGCTGTTTGTAAATGGAGAAAGACCTGGGCGTGACACAAGAGACCAGAACATTTCTACAACTGAAAGTGCTGTTTGTAAATGGAGAAAGACCGCTCCAAATGAACTTGTTAAGCTCAACAATCTTCCTCCAAACAAAGAACAACAAGGTGCCATGTCAGACACAGTTTGTGTGCAGCCATTGATTTTTTGACAAATTAACCAATTAAAACTGAAAAAGGCAGAGCTTCCTGTTTTGTGTGACCAAATACAAAGGTATGTTGGCCGTTACCTGTCATGACACTGAAAGAGTTCCCCTGATATCTCCTGTTTTGTGTGACCAAATACAAAGGTATGTTGGCCGTTACCTGTCATGACACTGAGAGAGTTCCCCTGATATCTCCTGTTTTGTGTGACCAAATACAAAGGTATGTTGGCCTTTACCTGTCATGACACTGAGAGAGTTCCCCTGATATCTTCTGTTTTGTGTGACCAAATACAAAGGTATGTTGGCCGTTACCTGTCTTGACACTGAGAGAGTTCCCCTGATATCTCCTGTTTTGTGTGACCAAATACAAAGGTATGTTGGCCGTTACCTGTCATGAATCTGAGATATCTCTTGTTTACTTCAGTGGTGTTATAGACAAGACAGATAAAGTGGAATTCTTGAGGGCAGAATAATAAATACACCAGTTCTTGCAGAAAAATACAACATTATGGGTGTGTCGATCACTTCAGCCAGCTGGGTGAAAATTACCCCTAACCACCTAGATCCTATAATTGGTACCTGCCATTATATTATTATTTATGTTTAGTTGACACTGCTCTGGTCAATGAGCATTTAAACTAAAACACAGCCAACTTTGTGTATAAAGTCACAGCCAAGGTTCAGGCAAGATTTCAATCTTGCTGTTATTAGACCTGCTGTTCTTCGGCACAGTGTAACACCTTCAAGACCACACATCACAGCACAACGACTTACTGAACGCCATTTTAACATTAAATATAAAAGTCAAGGTACAAACCAGATGTAAAGTTTGTAAGGCAGCAGGTAAAAGAAGCTAGACTTTCATGTACTGCCCAGATTGCCATACACCTCTGTGCGTGATACCATGTTCAAGCTATACCACACAGTTGAGGATTATCAACATTCCTGATAAAGACAGAGGACTACTGCTACAGCTTCAGCTCCACTTAATGAAGAAAGTAGCTCAGACTTCAACTAGAGGTGCTTTTATAATCAAGCATTCACAAATGCTCATTGTAACATGGCAAATAAACACAATAAAGGAATAAATATTTGTTCACTTTATTCACATTTTTATTCGCTTTTCATGTTAAAAAAATGTGGTAAATTGTTAAAAATTCGTTTCTATTTAACTAATTTTATTCATCATCATCATCCGTGTCTCCAACATTTTATTGCACTAATATTGAACAAATTCATGAAGAACTGGAAAAAAGATGATGCTTTTAGAACATCTGAAATTTGTGTAAATACCCAAACAAATTGAAGATAGCCACCATGATCATGTGACATATTTGCATATTTTTTTTTTTTATGTGTTGCAACCATCCACAATGATGTTCTGAATGTTTTAAAACCCTACGCTTGTTTTTGATTTTTAAATTAATTTTATTAGACAACCAGTCATTTTGGAAAAAAATCTCCAAACAGCCTTGGTAATGGGAGACAGTAGTGCCCTGGATTGCTGGTCAGCAAAGTGTTAGAAACTATTATAGTGAGCAAAAGAATATTGCAAAACTGGCACTTAAACTTTCCCACAAAGTCATCTATCCCTACAGCAGACAGACCGTTCCTTTTGCTCTGGTAATTTTTAATGAATACAATGTCGCTGCTCTGCATCTAGTTGGCAGTAAAGAAACAGCAATTTTATTGAGGGCATCCTTAGATGGTGGCATATTGTTTATGTGAAAAGTAAATTTGTAGGTGGGCTAGCAGGGAACACACGGAACAAAAACGGGACTGTCAGAGTGAAAACTCAAAATATCATTAGCCTGGGTTGGTGACGTCATGTCAATCTGATGAGGTCATCAACACGGCCACTCAGCTGGAGATGGTCTTGGTTCAGCTGTTTAATCAGTAAACAGACAGGGAGAGATGGTCTTGGTTCAGCTGTTCAATCAGTAAACAGACAGGGAGAGATGGTCTTGGTTCAGCTGTTCAATCAGTAAACAGACAGGGAGTCTCTCAGTGCAGCATAACAGAGCTAAGACTGTGTAATTTACACAACTGACATTATTCAATATTGTCACTAGCATGTCTCCAGCAAACTGCCTGAATGAAAGCTATACAGAACCAATGCTGGTTGATGACTTTGCTGTTTAGATGACCACTGAAATCACTAGAATAGCCTCCTGTCTGCCTCAAAAGTCATTGAAGAAATTAGAGAATTGGGCACAGATTTAGGGTCTAAAACTTGTAATTACGTTTTTGTCTTTCTAGATGATAATTGCATTTCCTCATGCATACATAATTAAGATTTGTTTCCTCCCATGTGCAATTCTCCATCTGAAGTTATTGGCATAATGTGGGATGACAGGTTTGGTTACGGCCTCCAACATTCTGTGATAACAGAGACAATACTACCGATTACTGTCATACTGATGCTCAGTTATATCTGTCTAGAACTAAAGCAAAGGAAACTCACTGGAACAGAATATTTTCTCTCATCCACACGAACAAACAAATTTTTAATGTTAGAAAATCAGCCAATATCATAGATCAGCCAGCTTGTTTTGGAAGGAGTTACACTAAACGCCAGGCTTACCCAAAAGCCAAACTTAGAAGAAGAAAATCAAATGCAGTCTAAAGGATTACAAAGACTCATTGTAATGAAAGCAAAAACTGGATGGAACACACTGGAAAGCCAGTATAAAACATGAATGATAGACTACACTGGAGCAGGTAAGCCTTTTGTGGAAAACACCTCAATCTCATGGGCAGAAGCAGTGAAAATGAACTTCTGACACCTATACAAGATTCAAAATATGAGCTTACCAATAAACACATGGAGCAATGGAAGCACCCCTTTAGACAGTAAAAAATCCTTACCTAGTTTGTAAAGCTTATAAAGCTTCTGAGGGAGTTATATCTTTGAGAGAGGATAATTGGAATGTAAAGTTACAAGTATAATTGTTTAGGGAGATGTAAAGTTACGTGTGTCTGTGCATGAAGAGAAGTTGGTGTGTAAAAATGTGTATGTCTTTATACAGCCATATTTTAGAACATCTACAAAAAGTGGTGGCCACCAAGCCCAAGGAACAGCTGACGCCTGAAGAGCTGGAGTTCCATTACTTTAAACTGCACGACTATGACAACAATAACCAGCTGGATGGTCTGGAGATTGCCAAAGCTGTGACTCACACACATACAGGTAATTGTTGTCTCACACACATACAGGTAATTGTTGTCTCACATACATACAGGTAATTGTTCTCTGTCTCACACACATTCAGGTAATTGTTCTCTGTCTCACACACATTCAGGTAATTGTTGTCTGTCTCACACACATTCAGGTAATTGTTGTCTGTCTCACACACATTCAGGTAATTGTTGTCTGTCTCACACACATACAGGTAATTGTTGTCTGTCTCACACACACACAGGTAATTGTTGTCTGTCTCACACACATACAGGTAATTGTTGTCTGTCTCACACACATACAGGTAATTGTTGTCTGTCTCACACACATATAGGTAATTGTTGTCTGTCTCACACTCACATGCAGGTTATTGTTGTCTGTCTCACACACATACAGGTGATTGTTGTCTAACCTCACACACATACAGGTGATTGTTGTCTGTCTCACACACATACAGGTAATTGTTGTATACCTCTCCTCTGTCTCCTCTCTTTTTTGTTTCTCTCTCTCTCTCACACACACACACACACACACACATCCACCCACACACACACACACACACAGAGAGAGAGAGAGAGAGAACTGTTAATTGTTGCTCTCTTGTCTCTCACACACTGGTAATTGTTGTTCTCTTGTCTCTCACACACTGGTAATTGTTGCTCTCTAGTCTCTCACACACTGGTAATTGTTGCTCTCTTGTCTCTCACACACTGGTAATTGTCGCTCTTTTGTCTCTCACACACTGGTAATTGTTGCTCTCTTGTCTCTCACACACTGGTAATTGTTGTTCTCTTGTCTCTCACACACTGGTAATTGTTGCTCTCTAGTCTCTCACACACTGGTAATTGTTGTTCTCTTGTCTCTCACACACTGGTAATTGTTGCTCTCTTGTCTCTCACACACTGGTAATTGTTGCTCTCTTGTCTCTCACACACTGGTAATTGTTGTTCTCTTGTCTCTCACACACTGGTAATTGTTGCTCTCTAGTCTCTCACACACTGGTAATTGTTGCTCTCTTGTCTCTCACACACTGGTAATTGTTGCTCTCTTGTCTCTCACACACTGGTAATTGTTGCTCTCTTGTCTCTCACACACTGGTAATTGTTGCTCTCTTGTCTCTCACACACTGGTAATTGTTGCTCTCTAGTCTCTCACACACTGGTAATTGTTGCTCTCTTGTCTCTCACACACTGGTAATTGTTGCTCTCTTGTCTCTCACACACTGGTAATTGTTGAACTTCTCTGTCTCTTTCTGTTACCCTTTTTTGTTGGTTTGTTTCTCCCAGTAATGTTTGTCTTTGTGGACATGGTTGTCTGTTCACACAATTATATTGCATTGACAGACCAAAATGTCACAGAGGGCAGTGGCCCAGACAGCACGCTAGTGATGTCCGATGAGCAACTGGCCAGCACAGTGGATGGGATTCTCACAACATTTGACCACGACAAGAATGGTTACGTGGCCTACTTTGAATTTAAGAAAGTCTCCCAGGTCTCGGGAGCAGGTTCTTCACAAGATGGTGCTTGAGTTTGTGTGTGTGCAGGTGTGTAAGGGAATGTGTGCGTCTGTCAGACAGTCTCTGTGTGTGTGCGGTTTGTAAGGGAATGTGTGTGTCTGTCAGACAGTCTCTGTGTGTGTGTGCAGGTGTGTAAGGGAATGTGTAAATTAAATGTGTGTGTCTGTCAGACTGTCTCTGTGTGTGTGTAGGTGTGTAAGGGAATGTGTGTGTCTGTCAGACAGTCTTAGTGTGTGTGTGCAGGTGTGTAAGGGAATGTGTGTTTCTGTCAGACAGTCTCTGTATGTGTGTGTATGAGATATGTACGTTTGTGTGTGTGTTTACAGTAACAGTAGTGAAGACACCTTTGTTTCATATCTGTATGTGTATGTGTGTTTAATTGTAGTGCTTTGTGTGTGAACGTCTCTGAGATGTCTTGTTTCTAGGTAAACAGTCACTGACAACTCATTGTTGTTGTTGCCAGAAAATTTTACGGAATAAAGTTTGCAGTCATATGACTGCACTCACATTTATTATCTGCAGGCTTTTGACTGCACTTCCCTAGTATTGTCTGCAGTCATCTGACTACTCCAGTGGTATTTTCTGCAGTCATTTGACTGCATTTCCTCTATTGTTGTCATGTCTGATCAGGCATGTGTTTCTCTAGTTTATTGATGAAGCTTGACGAACAGCACACAGTGCCACCAGGTGTCTATGCCACTAAGTGTCTCTGCCACTTAGTGTCTATGCCACCAGGTGTCTCTGCCACCAAGTGTCTCTGCCACCTAGTGTCTATGCCACCTAGTGTCTATGCCACCTAGTGTCTCTGCCACCTAGTGTCTATGCCACATAGTGTCTCTGCCACCTAGTGTCTCTGCCACCTAGTGTCTCTGCCACCTAGTGTCTATGCCACCTAGTGTCTATGCCACCAAGTGTCTCTGCCACCAAGTGTCTATGCCACCAAGTGTCTCTGCCACCAAGTGTCTCTGCCACCTAGTATCTCTGCCCCCTAATGTCTCTGCCACCAAGTGTCTATGCCACCTAGTGTCTATGCCACCAAGTGTCTCTGCCACCTAGTGTCTATGCCACCAAGTGTCTATGCCACCTAGTGTCTCTGCCACCTAGTATCTCTGCCACCAAGTGTCTATGCCACCAATTGTCTCTGCCACCAAGTGTCTCTGCCACCTAGTGTCTATGCCACCAAGTGTCTCTGCCACCTAGTGCCTATGCCACCAAGTGTCTCTGCCACCAAGTGTCTATGCCACCTAGTGTCTATGCCACCAAGTGTCTCTGCCACCAAGTGTCTCTGACACCTAGTGTCTATGCCACCAAGTGTCTCTGCCACCAAGTGTCTCTGCCACCAAGTGTCTCTGCCACCAAGTGCCTATGCCACCTAGTGTCTCTGCCACCAAGTGTCTATGCCACCTAGTGTCTATGCCATCTATTGTCTATGCCACCAAGTGTCTCTGCCACCAAGTGTCTCTGCCACCTAGTGTCTATGCCACCAAGTGTCACTGCCACCTAGTGTCTACGCCACCCAGTGTCTATGCCACCAAGGGTCTCTGCCACCAAGGGTCTCTGCCACCTAGTGTCTATGCCACCAAGTGTCACTGCCACCAAGTGTCACTGCCACCTAGTGTCTCTGCCACCAAGTGTCTCTGCCACCTAGTGTCTCTGCCACCTAGTGTCTCTGCCACCTAGTGTCTATGCCACCTAGTGTCTCTGCCACCTAGTGTGTCTGCCACCTAGTGTCTCTGCCACCTAGTGTCTCTGCCACCTAGTGTCACGGCCACCAAGTGTCTCTGCCACCAAGTGTCTCTGCCACCAAGTGTCTCTGCTACCTAGAGTCTCTGCCACCTAGTGTGTCTGCCACCTAGTGTCTCTGCCACCTAGTATCTCTGCCACCTAGTGTCACTGCCACCTAGTATCTCTGCCACCTAGTATCTCTGCCACCTAGTGTCTCTGCCACCTAGTGTCTATGCCACATAGTATCTCTTCCATCTTGTGTCACTGCCACCTAGTGTCTCTGCCACCTAGTGTCTCTGCCACCTATTATCTCTTCCATCTTGTGTCACTGCCACCTAGTGTCTCTGCCACCTAGTATCTCTGCCACCTAGTATCTCTTCCATCTTGTGTCACTGCCACCTAGTGTCTCTGCCACCTAGTATCTCTGCCACCTAGTGTCACTGCCACCTAGTATCTCTGCCACCTAGTATCTCTGCCACCTAGTGTCTCTGCCACCTAGTGTCTATGCCACCTAGTATCTCTGCCATCTTGTGTCACTGCCACCTAGTGTCTCTGCCACCTAGTGTCTATGCCACCTAGTATCTCTGCCACCTAGTATCTCTGCCACCTAGTGTCTATGCCACCTAGTATCTCTGCCATCTTGTGTCACTGCCACCTAGTGTCTCTGCCACCTAGTGTGTCTGCCACCTAGTGTCTCTGTTATCTTGT